AAATGTCCCGGCCGCAACAACGCTTTTATTGGCTCCGCTATTGGGACGGAACCAATAATGGCGAGCTGTTATTCTTTTTCAAATAAAAAAAAAAAAAACATCAATTTTAACGTTTTTTTTAGATTAAAAAAAAAAATCGTAATAAAAATAATCCTATTTATGATTTTTTTTTTTATAAATAAGGCCAACGAAAGACTGATTTAAGACATTTTAATACCAATTAAGGCCTTAGTTTTATTTTGAAGAATTCAATGCCTTTTAAGACTTTTTAAGGACCTGCGGGAACCCTGTTGTAAAGTGATCGAAGCATAGATAGATAAACAGAAAATATTAAAAAGGGATATAGCTGGATACAGCCTTTAAATTTTGGACAAATACTTTCTGATTCATTTTTTAAAGCTTGCTTATTTCAAATTTTCATCCTGCTTAATGATACTTTAGTGAACACAAATGACACATTGTTTTTAAGTAATATTTTAGCAGAACCCTGGACCTCACCCCAACAACTATGATGACTTTGCCCTGCTTCAGGCCGACCGCCACAGCCGAGGCTGTAGTGTCCTTCGACGTCTTATCAGTGGTTATGATCTCAAGGAGCTGCATCTTGTCCACTGGAGAAAAGTAGTGCATTCCAATAACCTGAGGGTGGAGAGAACTAGTCATCTTGCAATGTTGTGAATAAAACAATTGCTTATTTATGTAAAACAAACCCAAAGTCAAACCTTGTCTGGTCTCTTGCTAGCAGCAGCAATGTCCTTGATGGGAAGAGCAGATGTGTTGCTTGCAAATATACAGTGAGGAGGGACCACCTGTAGACAAATGTGGATGAGATCAAATGTTTTGTTGCTCGATTAAATTTATAAAATGAAGAGTAAAAGCTTAGTGACAGACTTACAGCTTCGACTTCTTTCAGGACGGCATGCTTGATTTTGATATCTTCAAACACAGCTTCAATGACCATGTCAGCCTTTTCAAAACCCTTGTAATCTAGCTGGCCGGTCAAGTTGGACAGTATGGAGTCCCTCTGGAAGGATGTGATGCTCTTCTTTTTGGTTTTGTCATTAAGGCTATTTAAAAAGAAAAGGAATAAAGGCTTTAGAACAACAACATTCAAGATCATTTCATTGCAGCATAAACCAGATGTGTCATCTGACATGAAGTTACAGACCCTTTGTAAACCTGCTGCTCTCCTCTGGACAAACCTTCCACAGTGGTGTCCTTAAGGATGGTATGGATGCCTTTGTCCACAGTCACCTGGGCGACACCCGCTCCCATTAGCCCTGCTCCCAAAATGGCAAGAGTTCTGGGAAAAAGAAAAACAAACAAACAGAAAACAAGTGAGCTGATAACTGTCGCAGACAATGCATCAAACCAAAGCACAAAAAACGCTTACTTCACTTCTCTCTCTGGGGTTCCAAATCGATTCTTCTTGCATGCTACTTGACCGTGATACAGACCAATTAGGGCGGCCGATTCTGAAGTTTTCGCCAACTGGCCGAAATTCTGTATAAAAAAAAAAAATCTAACGATCAGCAAACAAAGATGTAAGCGCTATAGGTGCCAGGAAGCGAGGAAAATAAACTTTACCTGAGACTCTGCCAAGTATCCAGCAATTGGGCCCTGTTCCACCCCCGTCTTCACACACTGAAAAGAAATTAAGAAATCAGTTTTAGAACACAAACTAATAAGAGATATATATTTATTTTAAGTATTTATGATCTCAAGGACATGCTCTCTCATTTGTAATTTGGATATTTTTTGCAGCAAAAAAAAACCCATTACATTTCTTATACTAATGTATATTTTACATCAAGGTCTGTCTTGTAAAGCATCATCTTTGCTCAAATACAGGAGCCTCCTGCCCCTTATCTGAGCTTATTTTGTGCATATTTTCGTTAGTCATCAAGCTGCTATCGAAACGCAATAAATGGAGTAAAGCCACCTGTAATCATGGTACCATAAATATATGTGCATTCAACCTATAGAAAGAAAAAGAGAGAAAGAGAACTTCTCCACATCTAGGTAATGGACGCAGAGACAACATGTCTACTGCACTGTCCCTTTTATAACTGTTCATACTACACTGTTTAAAAAAATTAAAGGAACACTTTGAAAACACATCAGATCTCAATGGGGGAAAAAAAAATCATGCTGTTCATTTCTACTGATATGGACTGGGTGATGTGTTAGGAACAAAAGGATTCCACATCATTTCATGGAAATGATCAACCTACAGAGGGCTGAATTAAAAACATCCCAAACATTACAGTGAAAAAATGAAGAAGCAGGCTAGTCCATTCTGCTGAAATTTCATTGCAGCAACTCAAAATGGTATTCAGTCACTTGTATGGCCCCCACGTGCGTGTATGCATGCCTGACAACGTCGGGGCATGCTCCTAAAGAGACATCGGATGGCGTCCTTGGATATCTCCTCCCAGACCTGGACCAGGGCATCACTGGCTCCTGGACAGTCTGAGGTGCAACCTGGCAGCGTTGGATGGATGGAAACACAATGTCCCAGAAGTGTTCTATTGGATTTAGGTCAGGCGAGCGTGGGGGGGCCAATCAATGGTACA